CGATCAGGCATCATTTGGATTGTTTTTAGCAATGATCAGTCTCAACCAGCAGGACCAGGAGACGTGATACTCCCTATCTGAGAATTTCACTGTTTGCCTGGGCATTTATTTTCTTTTCAGTATTTTCTCAAAAGTTTTATGAGTGCACTTTGGTTATACAAATCAGTGGGCTTCATTAGGGCAGATCCGTGGCACATTTAGCGTGTGAGTTTGCCCACTGGGAGATTTGTAGGGGGCCATGGAAGGAGTGCCTGCCTTAAGGATGTTCATGCTCAGCAGGTACATCTCCTGATGAAAGTCACACTGTTGCTTGTGCCAGTGCAATGTAAGTATTAAAAAGCAGGTTCTTAATGATATTTATGTTCATCTTTTTGGGATAGTCAATATTTATAGTCTATATGACTGACTTGAGAGACCTATGTGATTAGAAAGCAAGTTTCTGGGTGCCTGGGTGGCTTATAGGAGGATACATGGCTTCCATAGTTGTCCCTGCCTCTCTGGCTTTGTATGTCTGCTTCCTGGATGCTATGAACGGATCCACTTGCCCACACCATACTCTGTCCCCATGATGTTTCTTCTGGGTGAGTCTGGGTGGGTCATTGGGCTATAACTTTGGGGACCATATGTAATTCCTGGCCACTTCCTGTCTGAGGATCTTCCCTGCTGTCTCCAGTGCCTCAAGCTGGGCAGCTGTTTACCAGCACACCCTTCCACCATGATGTGTCTCCCTGGGAACCTCCCAACTGTTGACTGAATCTTCTGAAACCAAGAGGCCAAATGAACCTTTCACATCAGGCATTTGGGTTACTCATGCACTTTTCCTCACATTTCTCCTCCTTTTTTTTAAATTTTAAATTGAATTTATTGGTACATTCTAGGTAGACAGTACAGTTACATTCATTACTGGGATCGTGTACCTTTACATGCCAGGTCTTGGTTCTCATTTTTTCCCCTGGTCCCCACCCTCTCTTCACCCCCTCCTCCACTCCCCACCTTCAAACACTTTAATTCCATTTTTACATTTTCTCATATTTTTTTCCTTTTCCCTTATTCCCCTTTCCCTATCCTTCTCACTGACCCTACACCTTTGGTCCTTTTCTTCCTATTTCACATTGCTAATTGTCCCGTTAGGATCTTGAGTACTATTTTAGTTTTTCACACCAGAGAAACTATTCCGTATTTGCATATGTGTGACTTCTGTATTTCACTTAGGAGTATATCTTCAAAATGTGCCCATTTAGCCATGAATGAATCTACTTTCTCATTCTTTATGGCTGAGTAGAATTCCATTTTATAGAAAAACCACGTCTTTTTTATCCAGTTTCCAACTGATGGGCAGATGGGCTGTTTCCAAGTTTTAGCTATTACAAACTGTGCCGCTATAAACATGGATGAGCATATGTCACTGTGGTATGATTCTTTTAATTCTTTTGGAAACATACCCAACAGAGGGATGGCTGGGTCAAATGGAACCCCTAATCCTAGTTCTTTGAGGTATCTCCATATTGACTTCCATAGTGATTGCACCATGCTGCACTCCCACCAACAATGGAGAAGGGTTCCTTTCTCCCCACAACCCCGCCAACATTTGTTATTGTGTGATTTCTTGACAGCAGCCATTCTTTGTGGGGTGAGGTGAAATCTCAGTGTTGTTTTCATCTTCATCTCTAGAATGACCAGTGATGTGGAGCATTTTTTCATATATTTACTTTTCATATATTTATTTTTTTATTTCTTTGTCTGAGAAATGTCTGTTCATATCAGATGCCCATTTTAGAATCGGGTCTTTATATTTGGGGAGGCTGGTTGTTTTGAGTTCTTTATGTATTCTAGATAACAGTCCTTTGTCTGACTGTTTTACCAAGGTTTGGCTTCACACTCCCCTTTCAAATGCTTTCTGGCACTTACTGGTCTTGAGAAAACGAGTGGCCATTCTCTAGGTCCATTCCAGAGCCTTGGATTGTTAACACACCTCTGCCCCATGTCCTCCTGCACATTATGGTTTAATGACATGTGTGCCACCTCAGAATATCTACATGTGCCTTTTCTCTGGCTCAGAACACCCTGCGCTCATATTCATTACGTAGGACTTTCGGGTCTGCTCATGTATAGCAGATGGCTTTTTCCAAGTCTCCAACAAAACCGTTGCATTTTAGTCTGTCTACTCTGTGTGTGTGTGTGTGTGTGTGTGTGTGTGTGTGTGTGATGGGCAACCACTAAAGTCACCCTGCATTCTCTGCAAGGCCTCTGTCATGCTTGTCCCTTAGACCAAGGCACATGGGTTCGTTAAGGAAGAAATGGGCTGTTTTGAGGCACTGCAGATGCTCACTGAATGAATGAAGAAACAGACTACTTTTGTGGTAAATGTTAAGAGCTGAGCCCTCCGATTTCTTCATCATGCAGACAAATCAGAGGTCTGCCAAAGGAAGTCTGTCATCCATCATTTAACTGCCCCATTGAACTCTGGTCTTCTTTGATTATTTGCTTTTGCATTGGCAAAACGGAGTCCTGATTTACTGAGAAGGTGCCCATCACTCAGTCCCTCAGTATACTTGTGTGATTTATTTTCTAAACACCTACAGATGTGGTCTGCAAATCAAAATGATGTTTCTTAAAAGTTTCTATTGAATTAAAGTGATTGCATTTAGTAGGAAGCATAGACTGAATTTTGATCTTTTCCCAAAGACAATTCCCTCTCTCTCCTCCCTCTCCCTCTCTCTCTCTCTCTCTCTCTCTCTCTCCTTCTTTGTTACTCTTTTTCTTCCTTTTCTCCTTTTCTCCCTCTTGCTCCTCTCCTGTCTCTTCTCCCTCTTCCTCCCCTCCTCTTTCCCCCCTCTACCTCCTTCTTATTTTCATTGCATTAGGGATTGAATCCAGAGCCTTTGTACTGAGCAACCTCCCCAGCTGTTTTGCTTGTTTATTTATTTACTCTGATGCGGGGTCTGTTTAAGTCCCTAACTCCTTCAGGCTGGAGTCAAATTCAGGATTCTTCTGCCTCAGTCTCCTAGACCGCACAGATTACATGCTGGGCAGTAAGTAGCGGGGTGTGGACTGACACTCAGTCAAACCCCCGGGATCCTGAGGGGAAACATCATCACTAGAGTGTGTTGTGTTGCTGTGGTGTGAAGTGTGGTCGTGTAATATGTTGCATACATTTCAATTCAGGATATTTTTGATGTAGTACAAAGTATTTACTGGCACTTGACCCTATACTAAATAGATGAGCTTATTTATCTACTTATATAAATCACACATGTTCACCTTCATATATCTCCAGAGTTTTTACAATTTTATTTTCTTTACATTGATAAAGATGACATCATAGGAAAGTTTTGTCAAATTTCTCATTCTAGAACCAGTTCATGCCTGGTGTTCAGCAAGTTATACATTTTAAGTCTGCTAAGGATACTGAGCTTTAATAATTTACATTCTAATGCTGAAGCTATAAATATACTTTGCAGTGTTTATTATTCCACTGCTCAATGGATGGGTGACTCTGTGTGATTTAATTTTGTTTTGAAGATTTTTGCTTTGAACCGGCAGTATGGCCAGTAAATTAATTTTTGGAGAGTTCATCAAAATTTTGGAATCATTTGGGAGAAGTAGAGCAGGGTAAAATTAATTATCTTTTTTCAACTTACATTTCAAAACAATTCTAAATGAAAGAGCTCCTCCTCCTTGTTGCTATTTTTCTTGGTTTTCATAAGGTTAAACATCACCTGATTCATACATTCTCTATAAACTGAGAGAGAGATAGGGAATTTCATTAAATATCCAACCATTCAATATGAATATAGTTGGACTATTACTCAAGAAAGGAGGATAAAATTTGGATGAGGTAAATTAAGGTACGAATCAGGGTCATTTTTAACAATTTGAATATTGATATGCACACACTGGAGCTTCCCGAACAGCCCCACTCAAACCTGGAGATGGGTGATTTTTCGCCGGTACCAGTCTAGTGACTGCTCCTGAGAAATGTATTAAAATTAATGTTGGGCCTTCTAATATTCTTTGAGAAATTGAACAGGTAGGTCACAGACTTGAAAGGAAGCTACATAAATAATGGATGTTCCTTGGAACTTGTGTGTGGATTCAAAAGCACTCCTGAGCTATCTTTAGGTTTTAAAACTAACTTTGTGTTTTTCTGGCGGTGGCCATGTGTGCACGTGTGCCCACATCCGCATCAGCACCAGTCATGAGTGACATCGCAGCCTTGCAGAATCCTGGCTTTCCGCAGGACATTGACCTCCTGAGACCTCTGAGGGTTCAGGTCCTTTCTTTCCCTTTCCCGGGGTCCTCGCACTGATTCCTCCAGCGCTCCTGCCTCTTCTCTCTGAAGGTCACCCTCAAGGACATCTCCAGTAGCTCTGTCTTAGCCGTTAACTCTGCTGAGAATTTCTCTACTCCTTGATCATCCTGTAAAACTTTGAGCTCTTCTTTTCCCAACATTCACCTCAAAAAGACCTTGAAGGGAGGCAGCCCCCCACTTTCCTCAAATCCTAGCATTTTCGTTGGTCTCTGCTCAACAATCCCTTGTGCAATGAGATGACTCATGGTTCTACAGTATTTTAACTATTTTTATACAAAAGGAGAAAAATCCATTGACTGTTTGAGCATCCTTCATCCAAATATCTGAAGTCTATAATGCTCCAAAATATAAAGCTTTTTGAGAGCTGGGACAATGTCAAAAAGTGGACAACCCTACCACAAAAACCTTTGTTTCACACACAAAACTATTAAAAATAAAGGGATGAGCTTTTAGGATTTGTATCTAAGAAATGTAGATGAACTTCTTGTTGATCCTCGTGGTTCACCCCAAATGTCAGATCCTATCTTTGCCAACACTCTGCAACCTAAAACTAAAACATAATCTAAAACATCTCAGTTACCACAGAATTTGAATGAGGGATACCCATCCGGTGCTGTCACTAAAGAAAAACTAACGAAGAATCTAGCCTTCGATGGAAATATTTATGTCTTCCTATCTCGCATCCTAGGTTGTTTCTTAACCAGCTGCTCTGGGGCGAGTTGGAATGCCGTTGAACATCTCCAGGAATTCCCAAGTCGGCAGCAGTAGAGATGAGATTCCACAGAGAGGCTTCTTTGAAACATTCTCATAAGTGTGGAGAACCTCTTTCTTAGCTTCTACTTCGATTCTTCAACAGGTGGGTATGCTGCAACTAATGCATTCTCCTCTTTCTGACGGGCATTAAAATATGAAATCACTTCTGTGGCACCATTGGCTACTATGTGGGTACTTTGTTGATACCGGATTCATTTTTACCTCCTCACTTGAATCTCTTTAAAATCTACATTACTCATATTATAGGCTGTGTTATTTTGCTTTTGATTCTGTTTGTGTTTTTTTGTTTGTTTGGAGGATCGAACTCAGGACCTTGCTCTCCCAAGGCAGGCACAGAGCCACTGAGCTAAATCCCTGGCCCCGAAGGTTGTTTTTAAAGGATGCTTTTGTATCAGCCAAATCAATTTCTGTTAAAGTAATGTGTACTCCATAAGAATCTGTATGCGTGTTAGAATGGACTTATATGCAAAAATTACCTTTGGAAATGCAACTCAGTATCTCTTTTTCACATTGACCATGTCTTCTTTTCTTCATCTATTTCTATGGTGTGTAGAATAGGTTATCAATGTTAAATTTCATAGTAAATCCAGAAGTGTTTTCATGCAGAGAATTTATTCTTTAAACTTCTGTATATTTGTCTGTTACAAGGAAATATGTTTTTAATTAGCTCAAAATTCATGAAACACTTGCCATGCCATGTGGCACAGTGAATCTGACCAGTATGGAGACGTAGTTATTTAACTGCAGTGGTTTTCATGGTGTGAATGTTGCACTGATTCAGCAGTGAGCAACAAAAGAGCTTACTTTACCTCAGTATTAAAGAGATGCTACCTTCTCAGTTCAGAGATCAAGATAAAGGTCTCTCTGAAAGAAGGCTGTGTTGGGAGCTCAAACGCTGTCTGCATCAGGTAGCTTTCCCTGGCTGGTAACAGAATACCTGAGATAATCAACTTCATGAGGGAAAAAGTTTCTTAGTCTCATGATCTCTTTGCTATCATGGTCAGACAACCTCCTAGGAGGGAGTGCTTGGTGGGCAAAATATGCTCCTTCCATGGCAACGAGGCAATGGAAGGGAGGGAGGCCTGGAGAGAAAGAGACAGAGAGAGTGAGCGTCACAGAGAGGTCACAATGGATCTGTCAAACAACCCAATACTGACCTAACCATGGAAACAAAGTCTTTGTGGATCGGGAGTGGGGGAGGGAAAAGTTGAAGGGCGGGCAGGGGAATGGAGCAAAAAACAAGAGCCAAGGTCGATTATGTAAAAGGTGCAGATTTCCAATGATGAATCATTATATCGTAAACCTTGAATGTACCGATAATATTAATTAGAATATAAAAAAGAGCCACAGCCAAAGTAAAAGATTTGAAATGTTTACTCCACAACCAAGTGACAGCTAAGGGAGGTGTTAGAGATGGAGATGCGTTTATCCAGTTACAGCACTATTACACGTGTACACAGACAGTAGCACACTGAACTTCAGCAGTATGCACAACTGAGAAATCTGTTTAAATCAATGAAACATGTTAAAAAAAAACCCCACAGAAGTATTTAACAAGTATTAGAGTCAGGGATATCAAGGAAGATAATCCAATGGGCACCGAGCACAGGAACGGGGACCTAGTAAGAGAGATAGAGAACTGGTAGGATGGAAAGCTCTCTGACACATAGGACAAAAGCTTTAGGTGCAGCCATTCAGATACAAAGAAACAGCCTGGGCAAACGGAGTTCTCAAAGTAGGCCAGGCAACTAAAGCTTAAGTCCTCCATGATACACAAGTTTGGTCCTATCAGATTTGAAAACGAATCACCAGATTCGAGAATAAAGAAAACAAAATTACAGTGAGTATTTCCATCTCACTTTTGTGTACCTAATTAAGCCAGTCAAGAAAGTTGAGCCGGGCATGGTCGCACACTCCTGTCATCTCAGCACTCAGGAGGCTGAGGCAGGAGAATTGCTGTGACTTTGAGACCAGCCTGGACTACATAGTGAGTTCCTGGACAGTCTCAACTACATTGTGAGACACTGTCTCAAAAAAAAAAGAAAAAGAAAGAAAGTCTAGCAAGCCCCAAAACTGAACTGATTAATAATTTTTAACTGAATATATTACAAGAAAAAAAAACGGTTCATCAGTCACAAGTCACACTCATTTTTTGGTAAAAGTTGTCAAAATCGTTCCCTGTGATCCATTTGGTCTTTGTGGATTTAACATGGGTCCGTGGTTGTAGACAGAGGCACAAACTCTGATCCAACGAAATACAGATTTAGCCGATTTTAAGGAAAGCTGAGAATAGAAGGGTGAGCATCAACTCAGAAATCAATGGCCTGCTGGCTCCTACAGAAGGAGATGTTTATGGCACTAATATCGAATCACTTTTCGATGAGTGTTATCTATCACCTATGAAAAACCACTTTATGCTTAGATTCTCAGGGGTCCGTGGGGCCCTAAGAAGAATACGATGCTCTCTCTCTCTCTCTCTCTCTCTCTCTGATGCTCTCTCTCTCTCTCTCTCTCTCTCTCTCTCTCTCTCTCTCTCTCTCTCTATGTCCCGTGAGCCGTGTTGTGTGGGAGCCTTAGACGCTGGCTTGAGTCTCAGCCTCTCCTTTGTATTTGTTTTATTAGCACATGGGCTGATATCTTCCCCGATTTGATGCTTCAGCTCCTGGTGGTAACTCATAGATACCAGGAGAGCAAAGGAGTTGTAAGTGTACAACACTGAACATATTAAAGCTTGACCTACTCGATACATCGTTACCTGTTATTCCTAGTAGAACTACTAGATTGTTACATTATTACCACTGCTACCGGTCATCACTTTTCTGTTTACTTGGAAGAGAACGTAGATTCACACCGTTAAAAACGCATGATCTCTGCATTCGACAGAGACACAGAAATAGATCTGGTTCCGGCTCCACAGCCTATCACAGGAGCGACCCCACATCCTGAAAATCAATTTTTTTCCCACTGTTTGGCTGTAGAAAGGTCACCGAAGGCGGATGCAATTAGGGTTGTCCTTAAGTAGGAATTCACTTTGCAAATATGTTTTAATCAACAATATCAATGAAAACGCGTATTTGTAATTCTGTGCGCTCCTTGCTATGAGTAATTGAAAAAGTAATTAAAATAAAATACCTTCTGACAATTTAATAACACGCGGGCTCATTCGGGATGGAACCCAGAGGCTTTCTCTCCTTGGTGTTCACGTTCTGCAACTTTTGAGGTCAAGAGAGGAGGATATTAAATGGTTTGTCCTCCCATTTTTGTGCCTTCCTTCCCAGAGTTATGAAATGGCAAGTTTAAAGGCAGTTTCCACACCCCCTTCAGTCGGTACAGGGGCTTGAACTCAGGACCTTGTGCTTAGGAGGCAGGCACAGTACTACTGAGCTCAATTCCTGGGCCTAAAGGCCATTTAAAAAAAATCTGTCACCTGTCTCTCACATAATACCTCATCTGGTTATGATCCTCACTGGTAAGCAGGGGGTGCAGTGTTATGTAAGAGGCAGACATAAAGAGAGGTAAAATGACAAGAAAAGTGTCTCACAGAGCTGAGGGGACTACTACAGTGACAGATCCCGATTTGTCTGCAGGGAAGCCAAGGAAACAAGACAATTTGAGTCCCCTCCATCCTGAATCAGTAGTGTGCAGAACATACTGCAGATTTTTTTTATTGGGTCTCCTTAAAGATGCCTTACTGTGAAGTGAAATTAATGTCACAATTGTGTAAATGCCAAATAGTTTCTCTGGTGTGAAAAAGTAAAATTATAAATATGGATCAAAATGTAAAATTGATATTGTGTAATAGGAAGTAAAGTCTAAAAGAGCAGAGGAAGTGGGAGGTACAGGAAAGGTAAAAATGGAAAATAAAAAATATGTGAAAAGGGAAAACATGGAAAAATTGTCTTTGTAAACGGGCCAGGGTGGAGGGGCTGAAAGGAGGCCTGAGGGACGGGGAAAAGTGAGAACCAAGGTAAGTCCATGTAAAGGTACAAGACACCAGTGACGAATGTTACTGTATCGTGTACCTAAAATATGCCAATAAATTTAATAAAGATAAAAAAAATCTTTGGAAGATGATTAAGGCTTCACGGAAGTAGACTGGACCCAACATAGATGGGCACAGAACGAAATATCTTCTAGGACGTCTTAATGCTTTTTTTTTTTTCCTTTGGTACTGGGGATCGAACCTGAGTCCTCGCGCTTGTGAGGCAGGCGGCAGAACCACTGAGCTAAATCCCAGGCCCTAACAAGCCTTAATGCTGACAACCCATATGTTCGTCACTTTGTGTGCTGCCTTCTTTCTTCAATTGTGTATTCCAACGCTGCATGTGTTGGCTCTAGAAAGCAAGGCCAGCAAGGCGGTGTAGCCTTTCTACCTAGCTTAGTTGTTTGACTACTGAGGGCACCAGGTAAGAATTGCATTAGTCCAGTAGCAGCTTGTTCTCGGAATGACCTGTAGGAAGATTCAAAAGAAACGTAGTGTTGGTTTAAGAACAGTAACGTCTTGTTTTCCCTGAATAGAGTAATATGCTTCTCTCGAATTTTCATAGGTAGCGATGTGCTGAGGATGGAAAAAGTAACCAAGTAGATATCCGTGGCATAGTTGGAAAAGGCGCTGTGTCCTCAGGACTACGTAATGGTAAGTGTCAAGAATAAGGCCCTATGATTTGATTCCAAGATGGCCAGAAAGATGTTACAGGCAGCACTATGGGGCTGGAGAACTCGGGAATCATTGTGCTGGGGACTCCCACAAACAGAGCTAAACCTGGAGCTGGGGGAAGTTTGTCACATGGACAAGATGCTCGCTCTAATGTATTAGACCTCTGAACTTCCTATTTCCTTGGACTTCCCTTTTTTCTTCTGATCTGGAGCTCAGATAGGAGAGCGGTACTGTGTGGACATTTCTGGGAATGCTTTATTGAATCCTGTCTGAATGGAAAGTCAGGTCTGGCAGGGGCTGCCCAACATTTCACTGAATAATTTTCCTAGAGGGGAAAATGTGCCTTAGGGCTGGAGCCATCCCTAGACCATTGACTGTTCCAGGGCGAAAGCAAAGCCTATGTTTTGTAAACATCCCCACAGCCCTGCATCTGCTCAGCTTCCTTGTCACCCTTGGTTCTGCCAGGACTCTGGGGTATCACTTGGGAGAAATGTGCAGCACAGAGCTCTTTAAACTGGAGAATAAGAGGACTGATTCTTTGTTATAAACTGGCTGTAGGGTACTTTCCTTATTTTCAAATGTCTTCTCTTGGTTGGTAAGTGGTGGGTAACACAACACAACACGTGACTTGCTGTGTTGTAGAGTTACATGAAAACTGGCCCTAAAAGGCTCAGTGCCTATATGATGCCTGAGAAGGACTGTAGAATCTTATCACATGATTGAGCATGGGAAGTTTGCATGATGGCTGGAAGTGCCTGATCCAGAGTAGAGAATTCAAGTGGCCCTTTGTCTCCATAGTTTCAGAGTCACGTGATTTCTCCAGGCTCAGGCAAAAGATATTTGAAAAAAATTCCACACCTGCACGGAACACGTACAAGTCAAAGTCAGCCTCTCTCACTATCCTCTAAGCAGCACAGTACAACTCTTTACGTAACCCTGCTCTGTAATGGATGATACGTGTCGCATGCAGATGAGTTAAGGCGTACAGCGAGATGTTATTTAAGGGTTCTGGACCAATGCTCCGGTGACATCCAGGAGTGATTATTTTAATAGGAAGTTCAGAGGGCACGGAAAATAAATGCTGAAAAATGCCATTTCAGTCAGTCTTCAGGATGACTGGGATTGTCAGGAGCACACACATCTCTTTCTTTTTGAAATCCACAGAAACCCTGGTACAAGTCCTTCAAAGGAGCTGAGGTGCTCACTTAGACTCACAGTATGGAGTGAACCATCTGCACGCTTTCCCGCCACCTGCCACGTTTTGAGGCCATTATCTGCCTGCCATGTGCCCTTTTTCTACCTACTACAATCTTGCCTGTCCTTCGTAGGAGAGACTGATAGAAATTTAAAAAAATAAAAAATTACACTCCTTGACCTCTGTTAACTTACTTTATGTTCTACATCTTCATCCCAGTTAAATCAGCCTAGTAAAATTTGTAGATATCAATCAGGTGGGTGATAAAAAAAAAATTAAGTTGAAATGAAGAGAAGCGTAAAGCATTGAGTTTGCTTTAAACAATTTTTAATGTGACAGGTAGAATTTCCTAGTAAATTATGACCTTATGCACCATAACCAGAAAGCAGGCCAGGGAGAAGGACCCAGGGAAGGGAAGTTTTGCAACATCGTGTGCATCACAGGAATATTTCACAGCTCCAGATCTGGACTCTTTCCCCCAACTCAAACCTGAACAAGGCTCATCCCATTCAGGTAGGAAATTTCTCATGGCTCAGCTCTCACATGAGAACCCTCGAAAACAGTGTGTATGATTATGTCTCTTCACTGTGGGCTATTCAGCACCAATCTCTAATCAGCTTGCATGTTGGAGTTCCCAAATATGTGTCCACATTGGTAAATGATGCAACTTCTATCATCTCTTAACACTTTTGAAGCTACATCTTTATGTCTCTGCTTTGCTCTTTGTTGAACAACACTTCTGTAGCTTTTCCTGCATTCTATGACTTTCTGGCTCTAACTTGTTTTCTTCTTCATTGAGTTTATTGGTACTTTTTTACTACGCAGTACAGTTACATTCATCATTGGGATCTTGTACCTTTACATGACAGATCATGGATCTTATTTTTCCCCATACCCCTACCTTCCCTTCACCCCTTCACCCTCCCCTATTTGCAAAGTCTTTTGTTTGCACTTTTTCCTTTTTTATTTTCCCTTATTTCCTTTCCCCTAGTGTTCCCACTTCCCCTACAGCTTTAGCTTTTTTCTTCCTATTTCACATTATCAGTTATACAATTTGCATCATATTTACACTTTTACTTTTTCACACCAGAGGAACTATTCAGTATTTACACGTGTGTCTTATTTATTTCATTTAAGAGTATGTCCTCAATATGCATCCATTTTCCTAGTTTCTCATTCCTTATGGCTGAGTACTACTCTATTTTATAGAAAACCTTATCTTCTTTATCCAGTCTCCAACTGATGGGCAATTGGGGTATTTCCAAGTTTTAGCTATTACAAACTGTGCCACTATAAACATGGGTGAGCATATATCACTGTAGTACGATTCTTTTAATTATTTTGGAAAAACACCCAGCAGAGGGATAGATGGGTGAAAGGGACCTCTAATTCTAGTTCTCTGAGTTATCTCCGTACTGATTTCCACAGTGGTTGCACAAGTCTTTTCTCTCACCAAGAGTGGAGAAGGATTCCTTTCTCCCCACAACCGTGCCAACATTTGTTATTGTGTGATTTCTTGATAGCAGCCATTCTTTCTGGGGTGAGGTGAAATTTAAGTGTTGTTTTCATCTGCCTGTTGAATGACTAGTGATGTTGAATATTTTTTCAATTATTTACTTGCTGCTTTTACTTCTTTCTCTGAGAAATGTCTGTTCATTTCAGATGCCCATTTTTGCAGCAGGTCTTTACATTTGAAGGGCCTAATTTTTTTGAGTTCTTTATGTATTTTAAATAATAGTCCTTTGTCTGAGGAGCAGCTGGTAATATTTTTTTCCCATATGGTAGGTTGTCACTTAGCTCTGTTGGTGGTTTCTTTTGGAGTGCAGAAGATTTTTTTATGAAATGAGATCCCAGTTGTTGATTCTTTGTGCTAGTTCCCGTGCTACTGAGGATTTGTTCATAAACTGTTTTCCTATGCCAGTGTCTTTAAGAATTCTGCCTAACTCATCTTGCAGCAAATTTAGTGTTTCTGTTCTAATGTTTAATTCTTTAATCCACTTGGATTTTAGTTTAGTGTATGGTGAAAGATAAGGGTCCAGTTTTAATCTTTGTCAGGTTGAAATCCAGTTTTTCAAACACCATTTATTAAAGAGGCTATCTTGTCTCCAGTGAGGATAGTTGATTTCTTTGTCAAAAATGGGTTAACTGAATCAATCTGGAGTTGTTTCTGCATCTTCCAATCTATTCCACTGATCCTCGGGTCTGTTTCTTTGCCTGTACCATGCTGTTTTTATCACAGTGGCTTTGTAGTATAGTTTCAAATTGGGAATTGTTATAGGATGGCTTTTGCTATTCTAGGTCACTTATTGTTCTAAATGAATTTTTGGATTCTTTTTTCTGATTCTGTGAAATATAGTGTTGGAATTTCAATTGACATTGCATTGAATCTGTATAGAAGTTTTGGTAGTATGGCCATTTTCACTATGTTGATTCTTCCTACTGAGGAGCAGGGGATATCTTTCCATTTTCTTATATCCTCTTTGATCTCTTTTTTCAGAGTGCTATAGCTTTCAGTATAGAGGTCTTTTGATTCCTTTGTTAGATTGATTCCTAGATACTTCATTTTTTGAATGCTATTGTGAAAGGAATCGTTTCCCTAATTTCTCTCTCAGTGAGTCTGTTATTTGTGTACAAGAAGGCTATTGATTTTTGAGTGTTGACTTCGTATCCAACTACTCTGCTGAAAGTGTCAGTTAAGTGTAGAAGTCTTTCAGCAGAGTGTTTTGTGTCTTCTGTGTAGAATCTCATCATATTGTCAGCAAATAGTGACAGTTTCATTTCTTCCTTTCCTATCTTTATTATTTTAATTACTTTCTCTTGTCTAATTGCTGTGTTTAATGTTTTCAAAACTATGTTGAACAGGAGTGGAGATAGTGCACATCCTTGTGTTGTTCCTGATTTTAGTGTGAAGGTTTTCAATTTTCACACTGTTGGCTTTTCATAGATAGCCTTTATCAAGTTGAGATAAAGACTATTCCAATCTTCTGTAGATCTTTTTTTTTTTTTTCGGTACAGGGGATTGAACTTGAGTCCTTGCGCTTGCAAGGCAGACCCCCAAACTGCTGAGCTAAATCCCGCAGCACTGTAGAGTTTTATCATGAATGGGTTTTGAATTTTGTCAAATGCTTTTTCTGCATCTATTGAAAGAATATGGTTTTTGTCTTTGATTCTGTTAATATAGTGTATTACACTTATTATGATCCTTTAATCCCTGGGATAAATCCAACTTGGTCAGGGTGTATGATTTTTTCGATGATCCTTTGTATTCTGTTTACCAGTATCTTATTGAGGATTTTCTCATCCATGTTCACTAGGGAGATTGGCCTGTAGTTCTATTTTTTGGTTGGGTCTTTCCCTAGTTTTGGAATCAAAGTAATACTTCCTTCCAGGAATGAATTTGGAAGTATATCTTCTCTTTCAATTTCATTGAAAAGTTTACATAGTAGTGGCATTAGTTCTTCTTTAATCGACTTGTGCAATTCAGCAGTGAAGCCATCAGGACCTGGGCTTTTCTTTGTTGGTAAACTTTTAATAATGCCTCAATTTCATTGATTGTAATTGGGGTGTTTAGAATTTTTTATCTTCTTTGTTCAACTTGGGTCATTCACAAGTGTCAAGAATGTGTCTATCTGCGTTTTCCATTTTATTAGAGTACAGGTTCTTGAAGTAGGAATTGATTATCCTTTGGATTTCTGCTGGATCTGTTGTGACTTCACCTTTTTTCATCATAATTGCATGGTTGTGAGCCTTTTCTTTTCTTTTCTTTTTGACAAGTTTGGCTAAG